TTAGGATAGCCGAGCAATCTGCACACAAAGAGTCGTAAGAGGGCGGGGATGAATTCCCCCTCGTGATACCTCCAACGATCAAGTCAGTTGATGAATTTGAGTGGGGTCAAAGAAGAACTGTGTGTTCTTGTTTTTTGTGCAGTGTGTGCTTTAGGGGGTTTTAGATTGCAAACCCCTTTCAAGCTCGGATAGTATCTGTACTTATAGAGGATGCCAATGGCAGATTGGTCACTTCATGAGTGTACAGCAAAACAGTGGTGAGGGGTGAGCAGGAAGCTAAGTCATCTTTTGTTCTGCACGTGTTGGGTAGTGAGTGACGGGAGGTCACTTTAGCAACATTGGGAACTAGCAGTCCGACGAGTCTTCAAGACTGTTGAGGATGGAGACATAATGATGATCATCGAAGATTAAACAATGTTGAGAAGTGTCACCTATGTCGATAGGTTCGAGGCAAGAATAATCTCTTAGCTTCGTCGAGAAGCAGGGCCCGTAATGTCATATCTTCGAGTTGCTGACTCTCGTGTCGGCTGACACCGTCTTTCGTGCTGACACAAGAGTGTCGGCTTGTCTGGCTAGTTGGAATGTCGTCTTGTCCCAGCTAACAACCGTCTTTCGAGTCGATATAGAGATGTCGACCCGTTTGGGAGGTCAAGATCTCTCGTGCCGACCAACTTCGCCTTTCGTGTCGACACAAGAGTGTCGGCTTGTCTAGCTAGTCGGAATGTCATATTGTCCCAGCTAACAACCGTCTTTCAAATCGATATAGAGATGTCGACTCGTCTGGGAGGTCAGGATCTCTCATGCCGACCAACATTGTCTCTCATGCCGACCAACATCGTCTTTCATGTCGACACAAGAGTGTCGGCTTGTCTGGCTAGTCGGAATGTCGTTTTGTCCCAGCTAACAACCGTCTTTCGAGTCGATATAGAGATGTCGACTCGTCTGGGAGGTCAGGATCTTTCGTGCCTACCAACATCGCCTTTCGTGTCGACACAAGAGTGTCAGCTTGTCTGGCTAGTCGGAATATCGTCTTGTCCCAGCTAACAACTGTTGAATATCATTTCTCCATGATAATGTTTTGATGATAACAATTTATATTGTGTGTGCACTAACTTTCATATGCAGATTTCAATATCAGAATATGTACAAGTGCAAGTGGATATCAAGGCATTTTGAAGTGAAGAAAATGAAGAACAAAAGATAATGTATTTGAATTTTTCTTTACTTAGAATATTTGTACAAGCCTTGATCACACACACACGCACACACACACAATTTTAGAACACACTAACACAGGCTTAGTGTGTTGGTTAACTATAGAAATCCCCTATGTTAACCATTAGAATAGTAGTTAAAACTTAATTATAAAAACTCATTATTTCTGAATATTTGATCTTAATAGTCGACTAATTAGGATAGTAGTCGACTACTCATGTATATAACTCAAATACAAGTTTCTGTCTGTTTACAGTATAGTCGACTAATTAACATTATAGTCGACTACTGAAGAAAATGTCATTTTTCAAGTTTCTGTCAAATTACAGTATAGTCGACTAATGATCATTATAGTCGACTACTGAGAACATTTTCCGAAAACACAGAGTCCTGTTTGAACTCAGTATAGTCGACTAATGACTACAGTAGTCGACTACAAGAGATAGTTTTTCAGTTTTCAGAATTTGAATATCTGACAGTTTTTGGCCGTTTTTAAACGTTTTTAAACTTTAAAAACTTGTCTTTTCAAGGGCTATATATAGGTTATTTGTTCAGAAAAATTGTACATGCATACATACCCATAAGCTTTGATCTTTGTGCAATTTTTCAAGTGAAAAACATTCTGATTTTCTGAAAAAGAAGAGTTTCTGAAATTGCCTATATACTTTCATCAAAAACAAATCATTAGGCAATTTTACAGAGATTAAAAGTATCCTAAGCCACTGTTGCACTTCAATACACATTCAAGGCTTATAGGATCATTGTGTTCTTGTTACAACAAGTTTTCTCTCGGTTGTGAGAGGGTTAATCTCTTGGCTTAGAGATTGGGGTTCAAATTGGCAAGGAGTTTGTCAATTGGTGTTGCAATTTGCAGGGACTTGCAAATTGGTCAGTTTTGCATTTGATTTTGTAAGTTTATTCAAAATCATAGTGGAAACTCTCAAGCGGGATTTGCTTGGGGACTGGATGTACACCGGATTGGTGGAACCAGTATAAAATCCTTGTGTTTGTGTTTGCAAATTTCTGAGATTATCATTTTTCTTTGCAATTTATTATCTACTTTGCAATAATTTTAAAAGAACACTATTCACCCCCCTCTAGTGTTCTAGTGTATCTATTTCAGATCCTACAACAACCATCTTTCGAGTCGATATAGAGATGTCGACTCGTCTGGGAGGTAAGAATCTCTCGTGCCGACCAACATCGCCTTTCGTGTCGACACAAGAGTGTAGGCTTGTCTGGCTAGTCAAAATGTCGACTTATGAGATCATATATCCGTGGAACAGATATACCCCATAACAATTACCAAACTTCACGGGACTTCAAGTCTTGTGAAGTTTTTTACATAACAAAACTTCACGGGACTTCAAGTACAGTAAAGTTTGGTATTTTTTTTTGTCAAAAGCGATCCAGTTTCAGCCAGTTGGCTGAAACTGTGTTGCTTTTGGCAAATAAATTTCAAAGATGTCGTTTTTTACAATTATTTTTAGAAATGGGTTGCTTTTCAAAAAATGTCCTTATATTTTGGGTTAATTTCATAAAAACATCCTGAACTTTAGTTTTTGCACAAAACCCTTGAACTTTGTCGAACTTTGTCTGTCTCAAGAACACCCTTGACTGTATGTCTGACAAAACCTCCTTGAACTTTGAATTTTTTAGCAAAAACCCCTATATATAATTTGCAAATAACTAAAAAGTTATTGAGAGAAAACAACCCAAAGTTAAAGTTTAGGATAGGGGACATATTACCTGAAATAGTCAAAACAAATTTTATATTTTTTTGCTCTCAAAATCATTTTAGTTATTTGTAAATTACAAGTGCATGAATCTAGTGAGAAAATATTAGTGTTGAGGGGGCTTTTGCAAGACACCTTGATTTTGTGAAAGTAATCCTTATATTTTAGAGGAGATTTTTTTTTTGCATGTTTCGGGAAACTTTTAGAAGGTATTTCGAAGCCTATTTAAATAATTGTTCTAAAAGGTTAAAAGATAAAGTTCCTTTCAAATCATCGATAAATTTGATCTATAATCATGTCGAGTTTAGGTGTGGAAAAGGATGGTTTCTCAAAATTCAAAGACTTTTCTTTTTCTTTTTTGAACGTTTTTATAAATTCATATTTGAAAATTTTGGATACAATTAAAAACTATTAACATTTCTCTTCTCATCAACATGTTAGATTAAAAATACTAAGACAGATACAAATATGTTTAAGATAGGAAAAAAATATACAACATAAGAAAAAACTTAGGATACAACATAAGAAAAAACTTAGGATATGTCTTAAAAACCTTTATTAAATGCAAATGAGTTGAGTAAAGAAATTTTAGCCCAAGAAGTATAATGGGACTATAGGAGTGGTTCTTTTTTTATGCCAATAAGAATAAATTCCAGCCTTGAGATCTAAATGTTAAGGGCTTTTTCCGATATTAGTCCCATAAATGACCAAATATTTCATATTTTGATATTAGTATACCAAATCTTGATATTTTGATATTAATTAGTCTCCTAAATCTTTTAGCTATGTTGAAAGTAGTCCCTCCTTAGTTAGTATCTATTTTATTTGAGGTGGAATATTTCATTAATTCTAACTTCTGGGGAGGACTGATACTTATGCCCAATGTTTTAAATGTCGGCCAATAAACCAATATTATCAGTGATTTATCGGTTTTTAGGGTCTTTCGCTATGATAAGTTCAATTCTAAACTGGTTATCGTTTTTGAATGTTTATCGCCGATAAAGAGGTGATAAAGTGAGTTATCGGCCGATATTGTCGGCCAAAAAATCGGAATTATCAGCCTTTGGTTTGAGTTTTGATTTGGACAACGGGCATCTATTCAGTGCATTTTAAACCCGACCCGACCTGATTTTTTACCATTGGTTAGTGATCCTAAACATAATTATTTACATATTTGTATGTTTATATTTCATCAAGAATGGTTAGATTACCTTTCTGAATATTATATTATGTATATCATCATCCTGTAATGTCACTCCGATAAATACTAATTATTCCCGATATATCCCTGATATTTACTATCTCATAAGTCCCATACTCATTTGGATGCTCAAACCCAGTTTCATTATAAACCCGAACCCAAACTCGCTTCAGCCTTATCTTCTCCAATGGCCTTTTCACTCCCAACCTACTTCATCCTTCCTTGTAGGAGACATTAATCAAAGGTCATTGTAGACACCAAATGAGATTATGGGGAAGAAACCTTCACCAAATGAGATTAATCAAAGCTTAGGTCATTGTCAACACCAAATGAGGTTATCACTCTCTCAAAATTGGATGGTTACAAAGCAAACGAGTTATAAAAAATGAAGAAATCCTACTCAAGAACACACACACAGAGAGAGAATATATATATATATATATATATATATATATATATATATATATATATATATATATATAGCTCCTGCTCCACAATATCGCCGTCGATCTCCTCCGCCTTCAGCCCTCATCCGTCGATCTCCTCCGCCGTCTGTCGCCGCCTACGCCACGCCGCCGCCGTCGATCTAATTTTGATGATGGATTTTTATTCAGAACTAATAAAGCTCATTATAATGTCTGATCTTTGATGGGTTCGTTTATATAGTTTCTGAATATTTTCTTGATATAGATAAATTGTGGTGTTCTCATGAAACATTTAGTGTTACCAAACAGTCTAGTGATCTGAAATCTTGACAGAACTATAAATTTTCTATATTTTGATTTTCGGCATTAGGAATGTAACTACGTTGTGTTATTCTCATGATTCTTTATAAATTTCTCAAGGGTATTGCGATCCACATAAATGATTGCACATTATTTGCTCATAATGTTTGAAATGGAATTAATTTATCAAATTTATAATTTTTTTTGAAATTTACAGACAGTTCAGGCACCGTCAGTTTTGAAACCAGCGGCTGATCCGAATAAGAAGAGCTTCTACAATGACGATGATTGTGAAACTAGTATTTGATTATACATTATGTGATTCAAATTATATTATGAATTGTTGATTATAGGGTTATAATGTTACAGTTTTCGTGCATCTGCTTTGAAGTGGCACCCTGATATGCATCAAGGACCTTCACAGGTTAGCTCCTTGTTGAAATTGTGTGTCAAGTATGGCATTTGATGTTTGGGATTTGTTTACTTCCTAATTTTTAGTATTTTTACTTTTGGACTTAGAAACATAGTCATCTCATACTTGTTGTATTAGCCCCTGTTTATGATAAATTTTGTTACTACCACTTGTTTTTCTTGATTATGACTAATGAGAAAATTAATAGATGTCACACACTTCATGATGCAGGCTATAGCAGGGGAAAAGTTCAAGCAATGTGTTGATGCATACAATTCACTATGCAATGCACTGAAGTCCTCACAAGTTGCATGCAAAGTTCAAGCAATGTGTTGATGCATACAATTCACTATGCAATGCACTGAAGTCCTCACAAGTTGCATGCGCTCAATAATATATATGCAACTCAACATTCGGAGTATTTGTAGACCAAGAGAGCAATGTACATTATGTAATATCATAATTTTATTCTTCCAGTTCAGAAACGTATACCAAATTCTTTTATATCATAAGCTCAAATTTCATATATATGTCACTTCTTTTGCTTCTTTATTGTACTTGAGCCTCAAAGAGTTTGTTTATGCATCCATACATCACAATTACACAAGCGTTAATATTGTTTTATGTTTAACAATCATTTAATTATCTAAAATTTATCCTTTTAGAAAACATCACCTTAATTTCCTCAAAATATACCAAAAAGTCAATACGTCACTCCAAGATCTTTACCAGGAGAGGACTATCTGCTACTTTGGAACATGAATCAGCTCACATATCATAACACATGCAGGATAGCATATAGCAGTTGCGGATAAAAGTGAGTGCTCTTAATTTGAAGAGAACTGAAAATAAATAATGAAAACAATAATACAATTGCAGGCACATAGTCAATTGTAAGCAAGTGTGCGTAACAAATTCTGAATTAAGAACAATATAACAAACCCGATAGATCATTTAAATCACAACCAAAGATTGACAAATAAATGTGAAGATGCAAGTAACACCATCTTAACCTTCTCATCTATGTCGTTGAGAATCAACCTTCTATAATGAAAGTTGAAAGTACATACCTCTACAATGCAAAAAAAATTACTGCCCATAAAAGAATGAACATCAGATACAAATTGAAAAGGAATCCTCAGATTAAAAAACAACAAAAATTTTTGCCAACTAATTATGTACACAAGAAACAAAACCAAAAAACACCACCAAGTTTCCACAATAATGGACAGGTGCAAATTGAAACTCATCCATATAACATTACATCGGTTCAAAATATGAACAGAAGCCTCGTACATAAGTTATTAACTATATTTTCTTCCAAAACAAAATCTTCACTCTAAAGACCACTTCAGCCCCTAACAAAAGTACAGCACAAATTTCTCATCTAATGAAGATTAAGCTCCATCTCTTTGCGCTTCAATTCCAATGCCATCCGTTCATTATCAAGCTACATTACAAATAAGGTCGTTGTGCTCTGGTTTGTGTTTCTATGGATTAGCACTGGGAAGCTGTCATCGACCATGACCTCACATTTCCTCCCATGGATTCATCCTGAAACCTTCATAAAAATAAATAGAATGTAAAAATGGAAAAAAATTCTGACTTCCAACAGAAATATTCACAGCCAATATTCAGTTTCTGCACATAAAAATGGAACACCAATACATCCACTGAATATTCAGTTTCTACACAAAAAATCTGACTTCCAACACAATAATCCATACATCGGGAACATACAACTTAGAAATCATGCGATAGAAAACAACAATAATGATCTTCTACTTCAGAGTTGTTATGGTACTATGAAGTAAGTGCTCCGTTTGATTCTTTAAGATTCTGTGCTTCAAGGCGTAACAGGGTCAAACGATTCAATGATGAGTGGCATCACTGTATAGCAACTTTGTCACCTTTATGTGAATAAGTGAAATGCAGATGAATTTCGGGAACTTTTTTAATTAATATTTCTCAACCTGTATATTGACACGCATCCTCACTCAATTCATGAGGGTCAAAAGAAACTAAGATTATCCGCAGTCTATTCTTCGCGCAATATTAACACATGAACAATAGGAGTAAATAAATATATTGGGAAACAATATCTTACTAAAAATATAGATCATTCAATGCATTTCTTAGTAAGCATTCACAGGCTCCTAAATATGTGGATATTTCTTACTACTGGCTTTGATCTTCTTGAAGTCAGAGGGAAAAGTCGAGTCCCCGCACCTCCACCTAGTATGATCGACGCAATGGTTTTCGGATTAGCCGCTGGTTTCAAAACTGACGGTGCCTGAACTGTCTGTAAATTTCAAAAAAAATTATAAATTTGATAAATTAATTCCATTTCAAACATTATGAGCAAATAATGTGCAATCATTTATGTGGATCGCAATACCCTTGAGAAATTTATAAAGAATCATGAGAATAACACAACGTAGTTACATTCCTAATGCCGAAAATCAAAATATAGAAAATTTATAGTTCTGTCAAGATTTCAGATCACTAGACTGTTTGGTAACACTAAATGTTTCATGAGAACACCACAATTTATCTATATCAAGAAAATATTCAGAAACTATATAAACGAACCCATCAAAGATCAGACATTATAATGAGCTTTATTAGTTCTGAATAAAAATCCATCATCAAAATTAGAGAATTACCAGCAAATCCTTTGCGACGTCAGCCAGAACAGAATTCACAGTGGAGCTCTGAGCAGCAACAGAATTCACAACGCTCAATCTTGTTCCCTCTCTAATCCTACATTGCCTACACAGACTCCTCTGAGAAACCATGTTGCCAAACAAAGATGACAAAAGGATATTCTGTTAACAGCTTTAAAACAAGAAAGAAAAACAAAAGAAAAACGAAAAAGAATAATGGAGTTCTCCGGATCTGCTTGATGGCGGAGGGCTTGATTGCGGAGGAGGAGGAGGAGGAGCGCGATCCAGAAAGAGAACTCGAGAGAAAGGCGGAGGAGGAGCTCGACGGCGAGATCGAGGAGGAGGAGGGCTTGATGGCAGAGGAGGAGGAGGAGGAGCGCGATCGGTATTATAACATTCAAAATAATAACCAATTCTCAGACACACGTTTAAACTACAAGATTACATGTAAGACTTATGCACAGTATAAAGTTTTGTCATCTCTCTTCAAATTGAAGTATCTCTAATGACAGAATGAAGGGTTCACATGAGAATTGGGGTCTTATTGATTACCATGTATTATTGAGCGTCGTATCGGTCGGACTTGACATCACGTAACCAGTTGGTCCGCCAAGCATTGACAACCCAACTCATTCCACCAACGGCACCTTTCCCAACCAAGAAGTAAGCAAAAGAAACATACAAAAAAACACCCAATAACTAACACATAAAAATTTGGGACCTACTCTCCCAAAAGGAGAAGGACACCTTCCTTGCCATTTTAGAAAGGCAAGTGGGGAAAAAGAAGTGGCAACACAATCACGAACAGGAAGCACACGTCTAGCATTGAATGTTTTGACATGTGTAATCAGATCCATCAACAAATCACAGCTTAAAGAGCTGGCATGCTGAATGTGTTGAATAGGAACTAGCTAGATAGAAACAGGCATTAGTTTTAGTCGTTTGCTGGATTTTCTAATGAAAAAGCTATATAGGTTAAAGTTTTCCCTCAATTTTAAGAAAAGATTGGCTCTGTACATTAGCCGTCCAATAAAAAAAGCATATATTAGGTTTATATTTTTCCTAATTTAGAGAGAAGAGTGGACTTCAAAAGGCTTGAATTAGAGACGAAAACAAGAAACAAGATCCGTGTAGTTAACCCGAAATTGTTCAACTTTATTTGTTTTTGTTATTTGTTCATAATAAAGGATAGTTGCCTTGTGTGATTGCTTTCAAACAAATTTGTTCTTGGCCATTGTTATTGCTTCAAGAGCAATTTGGTCATGTACAATGGAGCTAATTAGAGGTTCGCCTCCTATTCAATATAAAATGATTCGAGAGAATTCACTATAAGTGGTTCCAAGTTTCTGGTCAAGTGTACTATCGCATAGACCTCTTAAAGCACAGCGTTAGTAAAAGTGAAAGTATTATAGTTAATAGAACAAAAGATCTAGAGATGACCTAAGAGACCCCGCTCCGCGTTAGAACAGACAACTTCAAGAAGGATGTGATAATAGGCTTCAACTTGCATGGCGAGAGGATTATGGCCAAAAAATTGAACAGGAACGGAATAATAAGGGCTTCATTGTAGGTCCACCTCTCAAACATTCTGGGAATAAGGTTGTTGTTGTGTGCCCATTCGTCTATTGGTTCAAAGAAATTTGTGCTTTGGGAAGATACACCGATGTAGCCATCCATACACAACAACGTACTCTATAGATGAATTCAAAATTTTTGTGAACACATCCCCGTCCCTACAAGCGAATATACAGGAGTAGAAGAAGTTTTCTAATAGTTGGCACATAGTCTACGTTTGCTAATGATCCACAGAGCACGTCAGGAAGATAACACGCACTTTGTGCTCGAACCCTATATTATCACTGATGATGGAATACAAGGAAATAATAAGATTGAGCAAAACTATTTACCTTGGCTCTCTTGAAAAAGGGTCCCTGATGCGAGCAGAACCAACACCAAGCCAGAAACTTCAACAAACTCCGGAACCAGCCATTTGGTAAAAGGTCACAACCGCTTCACAGCCAATGGCTTGTTGCAACTAGTGTTCTAACAGAAGTTAAGAGAGTAACGGACAGTAGAGTATTTGCCAGGAAAGCAGTTTCCCAGAGGCTCTACTCTCATAGATTTTATTAAATGATACTTTAGCTCTTCTTCCCATCAATTCCATGGTGTAGCTCGTGCATAAGAGGACACCAGTGATGTTGGTTTATATCCCCATTTTATCATGATAGTTGTATCCTGGATTCTTCAAATGATTTTCTGACTAGCGTAAAGATCAACAGACTATGAGCTTCAGATTTATGATAAGATAATAAATACAATTACTTTCATATAACTCACACAACTAAATTAATATTTTGAGAAACTTTTAGAACTGTGTTCCTTCACTTCAAATGAACCACATAAAAAATAAAATAGTCAGGAAAGAATCATACACACCAAGAAAGGAAGTGTATCATATCTATAGATTTATCACTCACAAATGCACTTAGAAACTATAAACAAAATCAGTAGCGTATATAGAGCCTATATATATTAAGCCACCTCCAAATATATGCAGATGAAAAAAATACATACTGTAATTATTATTTAACATTTATCTCAAGAGTTAAATATTTGTGGTAAAAACAATGTATGAGCATCAAAGTTTTAGACTTTATTTCTTCTTGTGAAAGTTTATGTAATAGGTATTCAAGTTGGTTAAAGTAAATTTCATGGCTATGAAAGCTCTAATCCCAATACTCACATTCGATAAAATGGAGAGTAAAGAATAATAGCAAATAAAGCGCTAATAACAATTCTCATCTTCAGTTATCCATCTACATTTCCATAGAAAGTATTCTAAGATAAACTCTAAACCCAATCGACTAGTATACTAAATCATCATATTAATGATATGCTTAGCATACCAAATGAGCTGCATCTCTCCTTTAGATTTGATTGCACAATCTGGCATACAAGATCAAGTTTAGCTTGTTCAATCTTAAATTCTAAGATTCCTAAATTTATCACAGCATGAGACAGATATAACTATATCAAAGGCAAACTAGACTATACACATAACCACGCGTCAATTAATGGATAATAGTCATATATATAGAGGCAATACTAACTAGTGTGTATGCAGTGGAGGGTGGGGTGATATAACCTCAATGCGAAAGTGTGAGTTTATTGTTCCAAACCATTAAAATGCAAATAAATCACGTTAATCAATATGTACAGGTTCGTAGAAACTAAGTTCTAGGCGGAAACATTAATTGTCTGCAATTTATGGGGTTCACATTTCATGCGTATGAGACAAGTTTACATTCAAGTTAGATTCTAAGTTATTCATAATCAATAATCACTATGTAAATTCGTCAACTATAATGCAAGATTAAGCAAACTACAGTCTTAAAGTTGCTTCAAAATTTAACTCTTGCAGTTTTTATTACTTCATATTTGAATCAAGTGCAACATATAATTCAAATTTCAGTCTTTATAACAGGCCTATAGGAAACTAATTTGAACTCTGGCGAATCTTCCCTTAAGTATGCGTATATTTATTAAGTCTTATATAATCATTGGTCGCTTGCGCGTACACACATCCTAGTGGTATGTATGATATCCCATGATTTAACGTTCACATTATGATTCATAATGTAATCCATTTGATCCGCAGCATGCCATATCCTGAACGCGTAACTCACCAAACAGTATAATAGTTGCCATCTAGTTCTGGTCTTTTCATGATATGATCTACAACATTATTTATTTCACATGTTTACATTTTCTGCTCTAACAAGATGTGCATAAAAATACATGTACAGTTGTCATAGTTTTTTTGTAACTTAATTCAGTTTACATGGGCGCTGTTATCATCATAGATTTAGGCTCATAAATTTGTCACAAGAAAGATTCAAATATATGAAATAGCCTAATAAGCATGGAACAAAGAAATCTGCATCCTATTACACATGCTTAAAATAAATAAAATAAAATAGAAATAAAATAAAATAAAATAAATAAATTAAATCTTATATTTAATTTAAACACATCGTGAAAAATATATTAGTTTGTTGGAGCACGAGCATAATTTATCCTTCACAACCTCACTACCCCAACCTCCTTTTCCTTGAGATTTCCAATAATAATCTCACCCTTCTTTATTAATGGTTGTTTGACAGTGGGGGCTAACTAATATTTATAAAAGTGAACAATTGTCTGTTCCAAGCCTTTCAAAAGACAAAAAACTGTAGAAGAGCACTTTGCAATGAAGCATTATAATGTTAATCTTCACCTAAGTAATTGCACCTTTCGGACAATATTGTAGGAAGGAATTATTCTTTTACTATCAATAACTAATAGTTCGTGGACATAATTCATACTGATAAAATAAGAAATACCTCAGGAACAACCATGGGTCCACGTAGCTAGCATCGGTTAATCATGATAATGGCTGACACTAAAGCAAGATATGGCTCATAGCAAGTCAAACAGTGCTGGTTGAATTACCATGCTTAAGCCGATAATTATGACTGCAATTGATTATGGCGCTTAGACTGCTCGGGAACTAAAGACAACCATTTGCCCCAGAAAATGAATATATTTGAAATGAGTGATATGGCATGTGTGTCTAAACAATAAAACATGAAATAAGAAGAAATGTAGGTAAATCTATAAGAAGTTAGATGGTAGATTTTGGCTTTGAGAACAAAAATACGGCACTGCTTGAAATGATTTTGAAAATGTTTCGTCCAACGAAAAACAATTTAAGGCACCAGTTAGAAAGATTGATAGGAGGCTGTAGTTGGTCGGAGAAGGAAAGATAAAGAAGTTAAGAACTGACCTAACAAATATGTATTCAGGAAGTCAAAAGGGGTAGCTGCTCTCATTTAACTTAATATGGGAAATGCGCCATCTAACAGAGTTAACTGCCAGCAAGAAGTTAACAAGTGCTTGATCCTAAATTTGCGAATGAAAGGTCCTTTAATGTTTTATTTTGACGTTTTAAGGTTTTCATTTAGGCAATGATGAATAATCACCATCTAACATAAAAGAAATCACAGCTGAGATATCTCTTAGCGGCAGCATTCATCGGATTATGTGGCATGCATTTCCACATCTACATGCGGAATCTTTACCTAAATATCTAAATAACATTAAAAAATTTTCATCCAATTTTCTCTTTCTAAAACACGATTTTTCAATAAGAAAATGAGCCAACAATATGCTGAACTAGCTTAAAAGTAGACTGTAATCATCGGCAGTAATCTGATCCTCTTGAGTTCCTCCCACTGCCTTCATCATCCCTGCCACGTCATCTGAATTTCACTCCTGTAGAACCCTGCATAAGCAATCAAACCATTGGCGTTGAAACATTTTAT